CGTGAACGAAGCAGTGAGCCTCTACGATCGTGTGCTGGTGGCCTAGTGGTTAAGGTGGTGGGCTTGGGATTTCGGGGTCAGTGGTTCGGATCCGCCGCGTGTTTTTCCTTTTGCATTTTTGTGACTGACTATTTGGCAGTAGTGAAACATGATTCCTTCATCATTGGTCAGCCCTACTTGCTTTTGGATGAGTTTGAGGTCGATAACTTCGAAATTTTTCCTAACTTGCATGCCACTACATAAGGTTAAGGCGCGCCAGTATACGGAGCGCGCGCTTCAGCCGTTTTTGAGTGAACGAATGTGAGATCTGTGTTCAAGTAGTCCAATAACTCCTGGGGCCAATTTCTAGAAAAATTCGAGATTTTGAATTAACTTCAAAAAAAGTGGGCGAGTCACTCATTGATGCTACATATCCATAGCCGGTAGTTCCAGGGTTGACCTATTTTGGACGACGGCGACCCTTTAAATTTGAAAATAATAAAATGTGGGTGTTGAAATCATGCGAACAGAAAACCAGACACTGCTTTACACTCTTCAGAAACCAAAAAAAAACTTATATCGTCTCAAGGCTATATAGGCTTCGATGATAGGCTGATGGATGAATGGATAGATACCCACCCAGCTTATTTCGAAATTTGGTCGAAATCTCAAATTTGGCTACAAACTTGTCCCTAGGGGTATTTTAATCTCCGGAACACGAATATCACACTTGTTTGCTGCAAAAACGTCTGCCAAGAGTTCTGTGGGCTCCATGTGCAGTCTTTAGTAAGTACCGCCGAAACTGATTAGAAACTCCTCGCAAAGTCTTTGCACGGGTAACTACAGGCAAGCATTGATCGAGTAAGGTAGTTGGGAGCCTTTTTCAATCATTTTGCAGCGAAGGCAAAAAAGAGAACCCGCCAGGGAATCGATCCTACGACGTCTCGCACGTGAACCCGGACTACTACCGCTGCACTACTTTCCTTCATAACTCCATTCGGAAAATCGTTTGGCAGATTTGGAAAGCAGATTCGAGATCAGCGTCCAAAAACACATCTACGGTGTAGGTCTCTTTACATATGGCCACTTCGACCAACCATCCTTTCCTGGTTAGTATCGGTTCAGCAAATAGATATGCTCGTTTTCGTGGTACATATTTTGAGTTGAGTTTGATCTTAACCCCGAGTAAAGAATGTCAGATAGTTCCGCTAACTTAAGGCAGTCTTGAAGAAAGCTTCAGAGCAGTCGAGTTTAAACGCAGTAATACTTTGTGAAGAAAATTATGGTAGCTACCGTATTGTCACGTTGGAATAGGGAGTAGCCCTCGCATGCATGCAACTTAGGCAAAGGAACGACCTCCACAAAGAGAGGTGAAGCAGCGCACATCTCCTTCTTTAGGAACGCCAACGGCTTGGGAAAGAGCTGAGGAGAGAATAACCCACAGTAAAGGCACTCAAGGCGGCTCCGATAGCTTCTTCCTTCTCTAAGTTGATCGCCTTCCTTTTCTCTCCTCTTTGATTTCGCTTTCTCCTTTTCGTTTCGTGCTTCTCTTTTAAAATGCCCGTTTTTTCAATGGGTTTGATATTGAGCTGACCGTTGCACTTTGTGCACAGGTGGCAAACGGCAATGTAGTATTCCTCGCGACAGTAACCTTATCTTTCCATCATCTCCGCGAGCGTGCTTTCGCATACCAGCGGTCGTTGTGGTTTGCTTCCCCATTCCTTTCCCAGATGAAAGGAACAGAGATAAACGGAAAAGTCCTCCGATGTTTCAGTTCCCATCCGATCAACCGCTCCGGTAGATTCGCTTCTTTCAGAATAGCTTCACTCAATCATTTTATTCTCAGTACATCCTCTTACCTCCGTACATATCCCTGTTAGTAGCCGCGTCACTTTCGTATTGGCTTATACGACTTTTCTGTGAATTTTCTCTTGATTGATTGCCCGTCAATAGTCTATTGTTCGTACTTGACTGAATTCAGTTTTCATCCGTTCGACTACCCAATTCCCTGTACTAATTGAGGTTCTAAGCTACATCGACCGTAGATGTCCGAAGTTCGGGGCCGTCACATGCTCCCCAGACCGGAGCAGCAATTGGCTAGTGGGACCAAGCAAAGAGCCAGAGTATGACGAGGTCCCGCAAACTAAAGGTTCACAGAAGAAATTCCGCCGCTTCGCCTATGGATTGGGGATACGACACCGTAACTTATCGAAAGACGCGAAGGAAGACTACGAGGACGCTACGACCACGGCCAGTTACGAGGATATGCGCGATGCCGGTGTCAATCCTCGATTGGCTTAACATATTCTCGGCCAAAAACTGTCTGAACTTCTCCAACCACTGAGTATTCATTCGCAGCTGTGGCGACGTTTTCATCGTTGCATTAACCGTAGCTCGTGCGCTTCGAAGCGAGACGTTTTCTCCAAGTTAGCGTACTTCTCTGGCGACTGACTCCCCTCAATTCTCTATCTGGTTGCGCTGGTTCGAGGATATTATGCGCATGCACACAGCGCCCTTAACATCAGAGCAAAAGGCTAACTTCTTAGTGGGACATCTTGAGGAGGTCGCGCAATTTGAAAAGTTGAAGCCTAATCGAGAGAGGCCAGGAGCAGAACGTATGACCGCTATTAATGGAAGGCACACTGAAGTCTTTTTCATCACGCACAACAAAACATTTGGACTCGCAGAAGGAATATCACCTATCAAACAGGGGACTGCGCGAATCCACCATGCCTTTTGAATTCGGCTTCAAACCTGAACGAGTTCGAGCCGCCAACGCAGGGCAAAGACCAGTAAATCAGAGGAGCGCGTGGCTAGTTAGAGTACAATAGACCGACATTAACGGGGAGATATACGTATTTTGTGACGGCTCGGAACCCGCAAGACTATCTGGAGCAAGCAGTAGCGCTTGCACTGCACTTACCGCAACCAACACCGACGAGCGGACTTTCTCAAACGACAGCACAAGGCGATTGAGCGCTGTCCCCCCCCCCCCCCATCGCGAATCCACCTGCAAATCGCCCTGGGGGTCTCAACGGCAAATGCTCCTACTGTGGCGGTCTTGGCCACATGTCGCGGCAAGGTCCATCCCCTCGAAGTCCAACGCACAACTATAGCCGCTCAATTCCATACGCAGCAACATTCGATATTTCGCGAAGGTTCCATTGAACCCTTATCTATGACTTCCAAGGTAGGGTCACGCACCGAAACCTCTGAGAACCGGAACACGAGGCCGCCCCGTTACTGAGCCGAAAGACACCCTTCAAAGCAACAAGCAATTTACAGATAGGAACGCTTGATTCAACGTAATCTATGAAAACATTATCTCAATCAATGTTTACATGACAGCCATTCCGAAATTGCGGTTTTTACTTCGTCAACATCCTCTCTTTTCCTTTCGGATCATGTGAAAATAGTTGTTTACTTTTATCATTATGTGCGATTTCACTAACCGGAACAACTAACGCTACTTCTGCCTGGCTCTGTCCGGCCGATCCTCATGATCAGATTATCCGTATACCGTTCACATATAACTGCTCTAACATTTTACCGTCTACTGATAGCAATATCGATTCCATGTCACTCAATATTTTTCGCCCCAACACAAAGCGTTACTGATCCCCAGCATTCTGGTGTAAGATAGTTTCTCCTCGGCCACCTTCCCAGTTAACTTTTTTGGCTCCCGCTCAAATTGATACGACGAACTCACTAACGGTAACCCATCGAGCAATGGTTCGCATGATGTCTGTCACCATGCGCTTGCGAAATGGCAGTATGACGCAAGTCGATAATGTATGGAGCACTCCCAACGAGCTTGTCGTGGAATGGCCATCTGCCCCTTTTGGCTGTTGTACTCGGCACACCGTATCCGTTTCCAACTGTTTGATGTTCCCAACTGTGGTATATGCTAAGCACGGTGAATGACCACCCTGACGCATTATTAGCAGGAAGACATGAGCTCTTTGGCAAAAATAATCGTGATGGAAGCCTGTTGCACACGGGATGGTTCGGCTATGATTTGGACACCTAGCCCAGAAGAAACGTGTCAGTTTGTTCCTGTTGGTAAGATGCGAGGTTAGCGCTTCGGAGATATCTGGTTGAGTGACTCCCGGGAATTCGCTCTCTCAGGGACAGTATCCCCCGAACCGCTATATGATTGCGGCAAGCCGCTCATCGTCACGGACCAGGGGTACGCAATTTCGACCGTGCGTCGATCAGCACGTTCCGCCTCTTCCGGAAGTCGGTATAGTAACATCAAACCAATTGTCAGCCCACTTTTGGCTGTTGAAGGGTCTACAAAGTCATCCCTACTAACGCTTCGGACTTTTTGCGGCAGGGGAGGTGTAAAGGGACCTTAATTAGGTGTTAGGAACTCAGCTATCGATCCATTGATCATGCCTCAGAATGTGTGCTTCCAGATGCCGACCAGTGATACGGCGACTGATGCTTCGTGGAATGACAACAAGCCAAGGGAGTTACACGGCATTCAACTGGTCTACCACGACGTCAGGCGGCGGATTGGAACCGGATCTCTTCCACCTTGTTGCACCTGGACCATATCTTGGACGATTCCCATTTCTTCCACCGAATCTCGCTTCCATTACAGCTCAATAAATACTTAGTTGCTCAACTGTGTACGCTGCACTTCTGTAACAGCAGTGGTATCGTGGTGCAGATAGGTAAGAGGGTATAGCGCAGCAGAAAATGAAAATATCTGAAAAAAACATGATATTAAATTTTCTTTGCAGGTTCAGTCGCTCCATTCCTCCACCTTCATGAGAAGGGCGTATTTGAAGGCAGTACAAAGAATGAAAGTGCATCCCCGCAAAGAAGACTGCCACACGCGCTGCAAAGGCACCTCCTCTGCCTATCGCTCGCTCCTTCTCCCTTAATACCTCGCTGAGAATGACACTGTTGTTAGGGACCCTGTCGCAAAAACGACAACCGTGAAGGAAAAGCCCTGGGCAAATGAAGTTGTTCTTCAGGTTGTAGGAGTTACGAAATGCGTTTACTACAATGCAGCTTCTGTCAACTGGTCATGATCATATGACACCTTCGAATCGATTCTGCAACTTCGAGTGAGGTCGGATGCATGGCCTATACCTCAGACAAAATTCGATGATGACGATTGCCCCTTTTCCTATTGCTTATGTTGGGAGATGTTTTCTAGACCCATTTCAAGCGTTGCCAACAATTACACTTGCAATGGTGAAGGAGGGAGCGGATTTTCAGGTGGCCGGATCCGTCCTCGATACATACTCGACGCAGATATCTTCTCAACTAGGAAATGTAGAAGAAAGCTAAGAAGACCATCAGAAAGCGCAAACCTTCCGCTTTCCAAAACTATCTTCCTTTTTCAGGATCTTACGAATTAGAGAGATATTGCTTTTGAAGTGGCAAAAACTCGCATGAAAATTTCAGCGTCCTCGACGTTTACTCGACGAAATTTGAGAGACCCTATCTTTCTGCATGGAAGGCTTTCAGAGCAATTTCAATA